TCCGTCCGTCCGTCTTTCTGCCTGTCTGTAACGCTTTCGTTTCCACACGATATCTCGAGAACACTTTGAGCTTTTGCAATGAAATTTTGCATAACAACTCCCTGTGGCTTACGGAAGACTCCTATTGATTTTCAGGTCAAAAGGTCAAAGGTCAAGGTCATAAATGTATACATTCTGTTTGTGTGTAACACTATCGTTTTTGGGCGATATTTCAAGAGGAGGTTGAGCTTTTGCAATGTAATTTTATACCAAAAGTCCCTAGAACCTCTGTCACCCCTCTCAAAGTGCCCCGCCCCGTTTGTTTTCTTAGTATTGATTGTATTACATGTGGCTATTTTTAGCACAGGGGCATGAAGGAGAGTTGTTACGAACGGGTTCTCGGCGGACTTAATATTCTTATTACATCTGTTAGAACTGTTTAACAAAGGTTAAATTAGACACCATGCATTGTGTTAAATTTTGACAATATATCGAACGTGAATATATACATGTATGTGACTTAATGTTTGTATATAATTTTCCCCGAATTAACGCGGCTCCGTGGTCCAGTGGTATGTCTCTCGCTTCACATGGGTGAAGGTCACAATTCGCATCCCGGAATATCCAATTTTTTTTCCGAAATCCTTTTTTTTCCCTACGAAATGATAGTATTCAGCATGTGAAATGAAAAATTTATGAGGTCTGGTTTTTACAAACTAATAAAATCATCATTACAGTGTGATAAATATTCCATATTAAAAGAATCATCTACACACATAAAAAAGAATAATCAATCAAACTTTTATATCCATATTTGCATATTTTATTTGCTTCAGTATACATTTAATAATTCTACAAATTCGGTCAAGGGGATACGAACCCCCCCGACCCCCGAACTGCGTATGCTTTACTTTTTCCCTAAGCGGGGGACACAAATTCTCTGAATTAGCTTGTTTCCTTAACAAGTAACTAAAATAAACTTATTGAAATATCTATTTCACGTAAGTTTTCTTCAATGATATACTCGAGGTATGCATGAAGGAGAACATTCTTCTTTCTGCAAAAGAAATCCCATTTTTTCAATAGTTTGAAAATCATATTAATTTTACAGAAGGCTTAACAATACCTGGTATCTACTCAGAAAAAGTCAGATATCGGAACTAGGTTTTTATGTTGATCTTCTAGCTGACAAAAGATTTTACTTTTTTGCAAAATGGAATAGGTTGTTCTTTGTATAAATTGCTTAAGTTTTATATTTTAATCTTATCGTAATAAATCCAAGTCAAGAACACGTGTAAATAGACATGAACATTTGCTGGAAACCAAAGATATATTTTCATTTTATATATTTTTGACACTAGAAAATTGAAATATATCACGGAGATTATATTTTCACAAAATACTTAGTTAAATGTTCATTACTGAATATTTGTAACCGCTAATGTAAATTATAACAAGTTTTGCTTAGATTTTAGTTTTGATAGAATGTTATCTAAAATGATATTTAATCTTAGTACATAAGTGTATGAATATGTGTCAATTTAATCTTTTTCTTTTCTTTTTTTTTTTTTTTTTACATATTTTTTTTATCATTTCGTAATTATTGGCATATATTTTGTACCTTTTCAAGATACTTTTTTTCTTCTCTCCCTTTCTTTTTAAATGCCAAGAATTAACTTTTTTTTTAATATGGTTTGATAAATAAAATGTCAAAATGTGAAATTCGATGGTCTCAATTTTATGTCAAGGAGGGCTATTTACAACAGTTGTGGAAATAGTAAGTGGATATTGTAAAGGAATTTACTTGTATTTGGAACATCCAATTAGAAATAGGTTGAGAATATGACAGTTTGAAACCGAGAAACAGTGTATTTTTATGCACAATAAACATACACTTTTATTCCAGTTGGTGGCACTGCAGCTCGCCCGTCTGTCAATATATTTTTTGGAGAGAGCTACAGTTCTGCAGCTAACCGTAAGGTTGAACTCTGGCAAATCCAGCCGTTGGGGAAAATGGAATATTTGAGGAAAGGTCTCCCACACACCAAGAAATAGACTGTTCTTCCTAGCTGCAGAACTGTAGGTAGCGTTATGGTTTTATTGGTCTTGATAGTCAAGGATTAAAACATAAAACCATAACACTACAGTTCTGTAGATTTGTTCTTCCGAGCCTGGGCTGTTTATTTTTGTTGGCTTGTCAATCACCTGCGGCTCTCATTCTCCTTCCATATACATTTAAAAAAATTCACGGGTCTGCTTGTTTAATAAATAGAAGGTCTATTTATATCATTCAAATATGAGAATATTTCGTTGAAATATTAAAATGTTCCATACAAGTTGAATATCGGATATACTTAATGCCTGTCCATGCCATGTTTCCAAGTCAAAGAATTATTCAGGAGGTGAATAAAAAAGATATAACACACTTTCTTGTTTCAAAGTCTATTTCCTTCAAATACTTATATATACATGTATATCTCTTAATCCGGAGGGGGGCGGGGGGTCCAAGGTCTTTTTTTTCGTTTCTTCTACATTGAAAGTTAGTAACCCTTAAAATATAAGTAGTCAATTGAAGATTACTTACAAGATGAAAGTGGAATTATTAAAATTGAACTATGGGATAGAGCTTTAATGGACATATAACATATTTTAGTGAAAAAGATTATTTTTTAAAGAATGATATCCAATATATACTAAACAGAGTGAATTCTGCATTTTTTGTCCTTTAACTTTAATCACATAATCGAACAATTTATGTAGGGGGGATATATGCAATAGACATTAAATATTTGAAAGAAGCTTTACAATGTATTTATGAAACAACTAGTCAAGGACTGGAGGTATATATTTTTGGGACGTATTCAAGGACGTTGCACTATCTAACGTTCGAAAATAAAGTCTTTAGATGCTTTACTAGGAAAACAGTGATACAGCAGTAAAACGTCGCGCCTTATGAAACAGAACAGAAGCCAAACGTAGCAATTACAGGTGCCGAAAGTCGCACATACAGCAACCATACTCGCGCTGTATATCAGAAAACTTTATATTGCATCAAAAGTTTTAATCTTGTGAAACATTAAAGGCATGTGAAATCATAAATGATTGATACAATACATATTCATATCACTTTTAACACAAATAACGCAGTGTTAATCGTGTTTAACATGTAAAAAGAAAATATGAATAGATCCAGTGAAATACATTGAACGGGTGTAATCTGAAGCAGTTACTGGATTGCTCCTTACATGTATTCAACTAACAAGCAATTCTACTGCATAAAATCATACTGAACATTAATAATTACGTCTTAATCAAATATCATATCATTTCTGATCGTTTAGTTGATATAAACTGCCTCATTGATGTAAACCAATAGTAGCTGGTGTCCGAAACCAAGAATTTCTCGATTCGCAATTTACCAGCAGTGTACATGTATTACATGATATTTTAAAAAATGAAATTGTAAAAAGAATTAACTCTTACATGTCTTCTAAAAGACAGCAAGTGCAAGTACCAAGAAAATGCCCTAAACTTTGTTAAAAAAATCCCTGTACATTCAAAATTATATATGTACAATATTAAAAAATATGAATGCAAAGTAAGCCTCTGGTATTTTTGTGTATAAAAATAAAATTTGATTTGTTTTAATAACTAGATGCTAGTCATGAATTTTCAAATATAAAATACAAATAGAGTTTATAGTTATAAAAAAAACCAGCAAAATGATTTTCTACACTGGACAGTTTGTTTGCACCAGATTTATTCCGTTTTCTGCTTCACAGTCACACGGGCGAAGTTCACAGATACCACGGTCTTCATTAAAACTAACAGTCACATCTGAAAACATCTTTTTTAAAATTAAAAACATATAAAGATTTAGTTCGCAAGTTTAGATAGCAATGTATACCGGTAAATTATAATATCCCCCGTGTATTTGAAATTCCATCCATCGTGTTATACCTTGTATGATCGAATTGCTTTGTAAAAATAAAATAAAATAAAATAAATAAATTGTGTTTCCCATCAACATCCTTTATAACAGACACATAATTACCTGTATGGCATTACGAAGTTTTATGAAGCTTTGTACGAAAAAAAAAAGAAAAAAAAAGTACTGGGATATTTTCGTTCCTGATTTATTTTTAACCCTCTCGCCCTCGGCAAAAAAAGAGGCGAATTAAAAAAGACAGTTATTTCTTAAATACAATAAAAAGGCAAAAACTTAAGAAAAAATAACCCTGTATGCCTTAATCAGAACCTACCGTTTCGTCCGGGAATTTTTAAGAAGACGAGGCCGTGTCTTTCCTGCTGCTGGAACCTTGTTAATGCTTCGTCTGCTTCAGCCTGTATTGAATAATGAAAAGGTATTGTTATTTTGCAATGAATTTAAGAACATACATTAAATATACATAAAATAGATTTCTTTTTCAGTTTGAAATGAATTATATTTTAAAAGTGATGTTTACTATCAGGTCCAGTGTATTTCCTTTTATGCCGAGATATTTTGGCTGATCTAGCTGTACTTGATATCTGTATTCAAAACGGTAGGTCTTGTCATTAATGGACTTCCTCACGATGAAATAACCTAATTATACATACAAATGAAAGACAATATTAAAAGAATTAAAACCTTATGTTTGACAATCAAATCAAAAGTAATTAAAACTAGTTCTGCATATAAGAATATTTTTTGAATTGTTAGTTATTTTAATTAACACATTTTCTCAGATTGTTTATTATTGTGCATAACTTAGAGAAATAGCTAGTGCGCTGCTGTAAACGAAACAATAAATGCTCTTATATGATAAATAATTGTATGCACATGAAGCAGAATTTATTCAGAAACTTCTGAATGAAAAAGTACTTTACTTGCTTTAGCCTTCAATTCGACATGTAGATACCCTATATCGACAACGTTTTATCATTTAACAATGTTCATTTTCATTTCTATATTGATCGAAATAGCCATTTGAACTAGAATTAAAGAGATCTGAAGTATCTATTCATAATTGGATATTTTATAAGAAAAAAGTCATAAGTAGTAAACTAACAACACAACCTTTTTTATGATAAACTTTTCTATCGTCAACTTCTCTTGTTTATGTAGCAATATACCATTAGAATCTGCATATGAAATAAATTCTTTCCAGTTGATTCAAGGCAAGTTATTGACAAATAAGTTTATGAATCAAGGATATCAACAATCTTTTCATAGCCATTTTGAAAATCTATGATCGAAGCAATGACCTTGTTAGCAAATGCAATCTATAAATAATTATTAGTCAAATGTTAACGGGCGTTTTGCATATAATTTGTAAGGTCATTTTTCCCAGTGAATTGTTTAGACGTATTTTCCCGATCGTGACAATGAGCACACGGTGGGTAGGACTGGTAAAAGTGGATGTTTTCTCCTCAATGGCATCTGATCCCAATTATAATTTTTCGAGGTACGTGATTAATATGCTTCCGATTTGTGTGGATATAATGGCCTTCTTAGCTTTTTTACTGTTCTTCTTAATATTCAACAATGATTACACTTGACATATGTTATTTGAACAAATCCTAACTGAAATAAACGACCTATATTTCATAAATTGAATTTTGAAATAGAAACGGTCTTACATTTACAGTCTCTTAAAAAGTCCGCAACTGGATTGCATTGGAGACGTCCTTGGTCAGACACCAGAAACTTCGATTCATTTGGTATCCGCAGAGCTTTAACCGTAGGGAGAAAATAGCCTGATGACGTCAAATTCAAAAATGACATAAAAATGTGTATCAAAACTGTGTACAAACAACAACAGAAAAAACGATGCTGTATAGAACGACTCCTCCATGGTGAGACTTTCCCAAAAAGTCTGACTATGCATTGGAATTTTCCCCAAAAGCTTGGTTATATACCAAAACCTCCCCTGGAAAACTGGCTATATAGTGAGACTTCTCCCAAAAGCCTGGATATATATTTGAACTTCCCCCGGAACACTGGCTATAGTGAGACCCCCACCCCTTAATTCTAGCTATATCTTGGAACTTCTCCTGCAAGACTGACTATAAAGCGAACTTTTCAGCCTAGCTATATAGTGGAACCTGCTCTGTAAGACTGGCTATGTAGTGAGAGACTTCCCCAAAAGATTGGCTATATACTAGCACTGGAAATTTTGGAAGACTGGCTAAATAATGAGACATCCTCCAAAAGCCTGGCTATATATTTGAACTTCCCCTATGACTAACTATAGAGGTAGACTTCCCCAAAAGCGCCACTAGCCTTGCCTTATATTGGAAATTTCCCTGGAAGACTGGTTATTTGGGTTGACTTCCCTAGGTCTTGATATATTGTTATTTTTCTCCCCTATTAAGGAAAAGACAGTAAATACAGTCATGTAGTCATTTTTTGTGAAAGATTCAATTTGCGGAAGTCGTATTATATGACACCGTTCTGGTTGATAATTAACATCTAGAAAAGCGTACAATTAAATGTATCAGATTACATTTTTAACACATAGTTCTTGTAACATACACCTGACAATCTATATATTTATAATGTGTTTGATATAATCCGTAAGTTTAAATATGTTTTTCATTAAAGAAGATATGTAGCTTTTGTTTTCTATCTTATAGTTAATTGAGACCACAGCACAAATTTCAAATGGGAAAGGACATGAACGTTCATGGTATTGTATATATATTTCAATTCAAAATAAAACCTTAGTTATCGAGGGTATTTTTTGCAAAATTTGCTTCCCTAACATATTTGGTAGTAATACTTTCAGGAAAAGCTGCATATTGCGAATTTGCTTTACATGGTATTACGAATTCGTATTACGATTATAATGAATTACGGATATAGCGAATTAAATTCACAGGTCCCTAAGACTTCGCTATAACCGAGTTTTACTGTATATTAACATAACGCGGAGACCAATTTACTCACACATTTCGCTTCGTCTAAAGGAATTTTAATTAGGTTTGCGGAGCTCCTATCAAATTACATACACTTCATTACTTGATTTCAATTAAACTGCAACATTTATTAATTGAAAATGACACATTTTAAACATCCATTGGTTTAGGATGACTCACTAACTCAGTGAAGATAGTCGCAGCTGATCTTAGTTTATTGTATTTTCCATGCCAGAGTGTAGATCTAGAGCAGCAGCGATAGATTACGTATCGATCAAGCCAGGAATTCCTGGCTTAAGATGGCGGTAGTCACCTGTCGTTTCGTACGAATGAGACAGGAACTGCCAGTCTAACTTGTAGTTCCCTCTGAGTTTCTTTCTTTAGGTTGCACAACAGTATTAAATTCTGCTATATATTCTTCCCGAAAATGCGCAAGTTTGAGTAGATGTAATAACTAATTTTTTTAAAAACTTCTGAGAAGTTTCTTTTTCAGATCTTATGAAACCATTCTTCATAAAGATTTAAGTACCAAAAAATACATAGCCTCCAGCAAGGCACGCAAGTTTGTTTCGGTCGAAGTCGAGCAGGTGCTTGAAAATCTAGTCTAGGGCCAAACCACTCCCCGCTCTTGACAGTATAAAGGAAAATCAGCACGCCCTAAATTTTAAAAAATCTGGCGTTGTTTGAATTAGCCCCAGTCTCGTATCAAAATGCCCGAATCGGAAGGGAAGATTCTGTGATTTTTTTTTTGCGTCAGCCATGATTTGACGTGAGCCAAAGTGAAATACTGTTATGACACCGTTTATATTGTTTAATTTTTGGGAACCCGAACCCAATATAGATTACCCTCATTAACAAAATCTTTTGAAATCATTATTCCAAGGGATAAATTTGGGATACAATAGGAAGTCATATTAATGACTAACACGCAGAAGAGTATATTAGAAAAACATTTTCTTTTCAGACTTCCGGACAATTACTATGATACATGTAATTTCAAATGTATCCCTGCAGCTAGTATGTCTTTTAATCAGATACATGTACATCAAGGACCTGGGGGTCGTAACTAAAGGGTACAAGTGTCAAAGACCATACTTATGTAGGACTTAAATACAGTCTAAAACTTAAGACCGTAACTAGAAGCGTGTTTAGATTAGATAATTTTAGCATAACTTGGCGGACGGTAGAAGTGACTTAAGTATGTATTAACTTTTTAAAATTTTTTATAAACATATCTAAAAATATTAAAAGGTGAATTTCGTTGTTTAAAAATTCCTCTTTTCATATCTTTCATGAACGAAAATGAATATTTCTACTTGAGAATACTAAAATCTCCGGATACATTTGTGACTGTGAATATCTGTTCGTTAAAGTTTACAACGTGTAAGAAAATCTGTTTTTATCGATGTATTTGTATTCTTTTGTAGCATTAAATAATATATATATGAAAAAAAATAAAAAATCATGAACACAGGGCATTATAAATAAATATTTTTTAAATCATACCTACAGCTGGACGAAAGTCCTACATCTGAGATCTTCGTGAGGCACAAGTGTGAGGATACACCGGAGGGGGACAGACTTTGGGGGTATCTTTGTTCAACTATCCTGACAGACGGGACAAAACTCCATGCATTCTGATCCCTAGATCCCGATGGCATTCTAGCAAAATTTCTTCGTGTTCGATTACAAACAACATTCCATTGCGTTAAATGATAATTTATTTTCTTGAATACGTGTTATTTTACTTCAATAGAACATGTAGATCTTGTAAGAAATTTCAAAATATCACGACTTACATGTATTTATTGTAATGTCATTTCACACGAAAAAAAAATGTGAAAGTCTATCAAACCCATCCAAAAATGTGAAGTTTTAAAAACTTTTAGATAAAATAAGATTTTTTAATATATTTTCATGTGAAATGTTATTGCAATGTATAAGTCATGATATTATACAGAAAATTGGAGAAAATATTACCTACAAATTTGTGTATATGCACCTTTAAATTCTGAAAAAAAAGTTGTAAAGTAATGGGTACCACCAAGTCTGAAAAAAAGTTTCCAGTATTGCATTCAATGCAAGCCATATTTTCAACCAAAATGAATAAAATAATTTATCTGCTTCCTATGTATCTACCAAAAACAATCCTAAAGTAATTATATTTGTCGGGATGAAAGCTTTTTTATTATAAAATGTCATCCGAGTATTAGTTACAAGATTCCCTAGCTAACATTTTTGTTGTGGTTGGTTCGCTATGCAGAAAGCTGAAGAAATTAAATAAAAATTTCAACTTGTGTATATATACAAAATCGTCACATAGATATTATATAATGTGTGAATGTATTTATTTTTTATGGGTTTTCTTTTTATATCATTAGCAAACTGTATTGCGTTTCTGCTTCTTCTTTCCATGGATCTTCATTATGTAGTTCAAAATGTTTTAAAAATGAATCATTTTAAGCATAAAAACGTTTCCATCAGCTGACGTCACAAACGGATATGATACCCCAAAGCTGAACGAAGTAGATGGAGATGTGATAAACTCGCTCCGGCTAGTTGACTCTCAAATAAGTAAAGAGGTAAAGATCCCTAATCAAACAAATCATATATCTATCTCCATTAAACAAAAGATATGGACAGAATGAAATTTAGAAAATAACACTTAAAATCGTTTAATTCTTGATCCTTCTGAAAAGAAAATTAAGAGAAAGGTGAGAACTTTTCTTTTGCATGAAATAGCGTTTTACAGCTAAGTAGTGCTCAACAACTCGTGTAACTGCTCGCCATATTCGTCATCCCTTTAAAACAAATGCTCGCTCTGTTGAATAGGCCTCTGAACTCACTTCAATGTTGCATTTGGAGTTGAAAGACGAGTTTTGTTTTCTATCTTGACCTAAACTATTTTGGAATATTTAAATAAAAATTAAAGTGAAACTATATGATAATATTTTGAAAGTAACAATACCGTTCAGAAATTAAATTCAAATTAAATTTCTAAAAAATGAATAATTCATTCCTTGATTGTAATAATATTTGGAATTTTTTAAGTTGCTGCTGAAATTTCAAAATTTTTAATATGCAATGATGGCTTTTTTGAAAATTTTACATGCATGAAAAAGTAAGTGTTTGTGATGACTTTCTTTTTTGTTCTTTGTTAAAATTTAATAATAACATCTGCAAAAGTAAACAAAATGTGGTTGTGTCAATTTATTTGGGAAGACATAAACATTCAATCATAAAAAATATACAGCTTGATTACATTGGGTATCAGTAAGCAGGTGTCTAATCACTCTTTAAACGAGTTTATAAAGTCCTCAAAGTCTGGAAGACAGGAAATATAGGTGACTCATCACTCTTTAAATGAGTTTATAAAGTCCTCAAAGTCTGGAAGACAGGAAATATAGGTGACTCCATTTCAGATAAAGGTCAAAATGTTAGTAAAATATGGGAACATTTTGAGAAATACTCTAGCCTATATGCAATACCTAGTGTACCTTTGTGTGAGGCTAGTTGTAAGACTGTAGGGCACTCATGTTCCTTGGTTTAATTTTCTCTAATTGTCTTTAAGAAATTCATGTCTCTCTATGTGTCTGTATATACAGACTGTACTGCTCCTTAATGATCCGACCCACAGAAGATGAGATTTGTGATCGTAGCTAAGGCTGTATGGATATTCTATTCCTTGTTCTTCTGTCAGCAGCACTGCCAGGAACTGACCGTCCTTGTCAATCATCTGAACTGTCTTGGTGTAAGCTTCACAAAAAAGGATGTGTGACAGAGCATCTGTACAAATTCCATTTGGGCTAAATTCTGATGCTTGTGGATCTCCTTTGTAGGAGAATCGATGTGTTCCTAAAGAGTCTGTCACAGTTATGACATAAAAGTCAGAAACTATCACATCTCCATTTTGGTTTTCCGTGATATACCTAGGACTAACATAAAGATTGTAATTTGGACCGTGTTGGAGTTTTCGTCCTTCACTGTTATACCGAGCAACCATGGCTTTATATGGATTCTGTTTCATCACAATAAGAAAATCTCCATTCAAAGGGGAGCAATAGAGACAGTATGGTTTCCAAGGTTTTGGAATCCTTATCACTGAAGAGATTTCTTTATAGTTCAATGAGAGTTTCTTGATTTTGTAACTCTTATCTATGTACACAAGATTGCCTTCTTTAGTCACTGTGTGTACACCATCGTTCTTATATTTATCGATCAGAAAAAACACATTGTAACATGCTGTGTCTATCAATTTTAAATGGTTCCAATTGCTGACCCAGGCAAGGTTTGGAGTCACACAAGAAATATGAAAACTGGCATCATCTAGTACCGATTTAGGCTTTACTGTAAACGTTTTCTGTACCATTGGTTGAGATATCACTTGAAACAGCTGTTCACTTCTTGCTTGTCTTTTTCTGGTTTCTGTAGTTTGGATTCCTCCCAGAAAATTAAAAACATTATCTTTGTTGATTTCCTTGCTCAGAGAGTGAAGCTTTACAATAAATTTACTGGGAGTGTCATTTATTTTGTAAAAGTTGTTCTTCTTAGAAAATAAAAGGAAATGTATTGCTCTGTTTGCTAACTGTTCAGACCTGTGTACACGTGTTTGTATGGATCTTATGTGTCTTCTTTGTCGTTTCTGTATAGAATTTAAGTAAGGTTTTATTTTCCTAATGTCCTCTATCGTTTCATCTATCTGATCATTAAGCCTCTTAGCTTTGAACATCATATTCTCCTGGAGTTTGGAGATTTCAGTTTGACAAGATCTAAAATCGGAACGTATGCCTGCCTGAACACAATGATTATGCAACATGATCTCACTTTTTATTTGAATAATTCTTTGCTGATGATGTACCCATTGATTTTTAAACACTGAATTTATATCCTGAGTTTCATGTTTTATGTGCTCTACACAGTTAGAACAAAAAGGAAGCTTACAAAAAAAGCACCACATTTTACAATCCATGTTTGTGTGTCCCTCACAAGTCTGTAGTAACATAATATCTCCATACTTTAAGCGATCAATCACTACATCATGGTGTTTGGTGTCAAAGTCTATCACATGTTCCTCCTTACAAGGTACACATAGATCTTGTTTACACGTCCTGCAGTAGTACTCTGTCCTGTTCTTACACTGAGAACACTCTGTTGGTTTTAACTGTATTGGGAATGATTTACTCATAATGCCACCATGTTAATATATGCATGCATTAAATTTTAGTTCATAATCCTTATATGGTTCTTAATTTTCTTCCATTTCTTTATCTTATGTGTGGAGCAACCTACAAAGAAATAGGAATATTGGTGAATATGTTCATGTATTTAGTGATTTTTCTCAGAATTTGATAACAATTAATGTGCGTATAGTGAAAAATTATTTATCCTTGAGACCAAAGATTCCATTGCAGTCCTCAAAATTTTTCATTTAAATGTCAAGCTCTTAGCTTGACATTGAGGTAAAGAAAAAAAAGATATTTCAAGTTTAATAATTACCTTCCCTTTGCACATGTTTTTCTATATTATTATCAATTTTCTCCTTGTCAAAAAAATCATCTGTGGATGCAAAGGAGTCAACATGCAACTTATATCTAAATTCTTGCTTTAAAGAAATAAAAAAAAAAAATTAAAAGAAACACTTGATACCCATATACCTTCATGTAGTTAGTAATTTTCATGATTGGTTACATATGTGTTCAAGAATTTCGCAATCAGAACTGTATAGTTATCCTACAATAGTTATACAAATCCACAAGAAAAAAGTAGTAATGCTAAAAGAGTTTTAAGATTAAAGAAAGACATTAGAAAAACCTACTGCACAGTAAAGACCGTTAAGATGATGTTCGTAGATGGAAATTTTGTTACTAACTTACTTCCTTCTTAGACTGGCTTGCCTGCCTGATCCTCAATATACAGGCAGGTGACCTGTAATGTAAAGAGAGGCGCTCATTGGCTGATAAAATCTCGGGCTGACGTAGAAATTTAAATGTCTCGGGGAAACCAAAACAGATCACAGTGCACAGGGACTAGTCACGAAATATTTATCTTCTTTCAATATAGTTACCCCTTCTATAAAAATAAATACCTCTCTATTTTTAAAAGAAGATGTATATTTCGTGACAAGTCCCTGTGCAGACAGTGCAGAGACATCGATCGTTATATCGTAACCTTTCATAACTAGATGCTGTCATGAGACAGTAATACCCGCACTATGGTGTTTGCCTCTAAATATACACTCATTCATATTGGACTCTCCAAGGAAGAAGTCAAAATAATTCTATAATTATCACCGTACATGTATTCGTCAAATTGAACATAAAATTTTCAGATGACCATATCAACTCTGAGCCTCACATATGTATTTTAAAATACTTAATTCATAACCAGTCTGAAATAACAGAATTTAATTAATGATTGAAGTAAATTACTTAATTAGATTCAAATAAATAATTTCCCCATAATTTGGAACTTTTTAAATTTACTTTCTCAACGACATAAAATATTATTTTAGTACAAAGCGTTTTTGATGAATTTATCAAAATGTGCAAACTGATTTAAGTATTTGGTCGGGAAAAAAACCCATTGAAAATACAACCCGATTAATTTGTCAATGCCTATCTCCCCCCCCCCCCCCCACACACACACACACACTCTCTCTCTCACTCTCACATTTTTTAAAAAAACATAGTTTAGTTTATTATGATAGTTTGAAATTTGTTCTTGTACTAAACAGTTTTATTTTCTACATTCACATTGGGTTTGCGTCACCCATTATCATATTTATAGATATCACCTCTCGGCACACCTCGGCCAATTCATACTGGCAAAGGAATCAGCAAAGGTTTGTCGAATGAGATTATTTAGCACATGTATGCTGACGATGCAGTGTGGTCAGTTAAAATCATTTGTGTTTTAATTGGATTATATGGATTATATTTCATGAATTCGTTGTCACGACCTATGACATTCGGTAAGTACAAGATTTAGCATAGATTACATAAAAATAAATAAATGCAAATGGTTAGGTTGAAGTTCAAAAAGGGTCAACATGGTCAAAGATCATCGCATGCCACAGTCGACAAATTTCACATTGTCAAGTTATCTCCCGTTGCGGACATTCAGTATATAACAGACGCAGATCCAGAATTTTTTTTTTTCAGAAAGGGGGGGGGGGTGTCACACCTCAGTCAAAAAAATCAGCCCAAGATTTCCTGAGATGGAAATAAAAAATAATAATAATAACAATGATGGTGGAGTCCCTGTTTTCTAAGGGGGAGGATGTCCAAAGTCATTTTTATTCTCTACAGTACATATATAGTCTTATTTAAATAACTGCTAATTCCAGGGGGGGGGTCTGATCTCCCTAGCCACTGACTCCCTGTACCTGAAATGACAATTGATCTTATGACTCCACAATAGTAGAAAATTTTTTCAATTGGCTATTTATACATATTTTGTTTTCTATGTTTATGTATTTTTGTCTGTCCACGGAAACTTTAACCTTGCCCATATTTTTTAAGTGGATTGGGCTATACACATGGCTTGAATATTTCATAGGTAAATTTCTTTTGGCAAAACCTTTTAATGGGTACCACCAATTTTGACCTCTTGATCTCTTGACCTTGGATTTTGACCCAATTTTACAAGAAAAATACCTTGAACTTGGCGTAAGTTTTGAACAGGTGGTGCTAGGACTTTCATGCTCTTACATGTGTAATCATTGTGAACTTTCAACAGGTATAATTATTTTTGACCTAGACCTTAGAGTTGAATCCAATTTAACTTTAACCTTGGCAATAACTTTTGAACAGGTGAGGAAGTTCTAGGGATTTCTCCCTTTTTTCACATGTGTATTCCTTGTGACAAGACTTTCCCTTTGATACCAACAATTTAGACCCTTTGACCTTGACCTTGGAGTTTGACTTACATTTGAGAAACTTCAACTTTTGCCAAAAGCTGCCATAACAGTTGCTGTCACAACAAACAAACAAATTACTAAAAAAAACACAGAATACATGTACATATTTTATATTCAACAGATATACATCTGGTCATATCTCTAGTTCTCCCTTGAATGAGACATGGTGATATAAATTTTAAAAAATAATTATAAGAGTTGAAAAGGTTGTGCATATTGAAATATACTAAGCTCTGCGGATGAATTAGATATACCAGTTTAGCTTTATTTTGCTACCCAAAGCACCTTGATTAACTATTTATAAGGCCATACCAATTTCTAATATAGTTCGTCGGATTCGCCGCTTCTATTTATTAAAAATGCAAATTATAATATTAAAAAAAAAATTCGTCCGCGCGCGCTTCCAAAAAAATCCGACTACAATTTTTTTCTCGACTTTTTGCACCAAACACACAAGAACTTTGAAACTTGTATGACAGATGCGCGGGATTTATAGTGAGATTGAAGCAGTTTGTGAAGTTTTGCACCATGTCTGTTTAACTGTTCATATGTACCAGGGGTGTGCAATTAGCATCCCCTGACGCCAGGGGCAAACATTTTTGGGGGTCAGGCTAGTGGTTTTCTACAAGGAGGTAGCCCGTCGGGCTAGTAAAAAATATAACTACACACGCAATTCATGAAAAGCACAACCGGTATTTTCACTCGTTTTTGGCTATAAAATTCCCAACCAGTTTATATTTTCCAGCCAACATACTCCTACTGTCAATAGATCTCCATAATCTTATCCGTTTTGCAGAACTACCTGACTTATTTACTTCCTAAAACGATCGTTTTTTTTCCTAATCCGAATTTCCTCTATCCCTCCGTTTATGGTAAATACATGCAGCAATATCTTTAAATTATTTATGATCACTCAATCAACTGAAAGATAAGTGTTTTGTGACTCACATAAAATATATTTCTTTTGTTTTGAATGATTTAAGATGAAAAAATGAATTTAATTTCATGATCAGAGAAACATGAGAAAGGGAAGATAATTTATTGAAGTTCATTTTAATTTTATTTCATAATAATTTAAACATGACTGAATTTGATATTGAGAATTTAAACTTTGACTTTAAAAAGAATGACCTCAGTACCCTGACTTTTATCAGCAATTAATTTCTTTTTCCACATTATTTTATAGTTTTATTTTAATTTGGGCTAGTAACTTTGCAGCTGCCACTAGCCTGTGGGCTAGTACTTGATTTTTTTAATTGCACAACGCTGTGTACTATAGTTAAAAACAATGGGTACAAAGTTGTTTCATACACAGCAATGGAAGCAGAGGAGATGTTTGAAAACATTATACATTTATGAAAGTAAAGTCTTTGAAATTTGACACATTTTTACTTATTTAAAAAATCCCCCAAAAGTTAAGAATTATAAGTTCATGTGGTATGCAAATGATATCTATCTTTATTTTTTAGGTTCATGCTCTTTGAAATCACACTTTATTAAAACATATATATATATGTATTAAATATATTCGCTCGCCTCATAATTTTGAAACCCAAAATTAAAAATAATATTTATAAAAAAATTTCGCTCGCTCGCCTCACTTTTTATTCTTGAAAATCCGAAGAACTATTTTACAAATTGGTATGGCCTAAGCATACTGTTTTCTGAAATGTACTGATTTCTGTTGTCCATCTGTTTATCTGCAAACTTTTCACATTAACTTCTTAAGAACCACTAGGCTAATTTCAACCAATTTACATTTAAATATGCAGGGTACTTTTTAAGCGCCCGGATCGATAGATCCCGGGCGTATATTGTTTTTGTCCTGTCTGTTTGTCTGTTTGTCTGTTTATCTGTTTGTCTGTTTGTCAACTTTAACCTTGGCCATAACTTTTGAACAATAAGGGATAGAGACTTCATATTTGGTAAGCATACTCCACTAATAAAAACCTTTCAAATGACTTCAAGGTCAATGACCTTGTGACCTTGACTAAGACTTATATGCTAAAAATAGCTTTTTCCACTGTTTGTCATAACTTTTGAACCATAGGAGATAGGGACTTCATATTTGGTATGCATACTCCACTAATAGAGTCCTTTCAAATGACATCAAGGTCAATGATCTTGTGACCTTGACTGTGACCTATATGCTAAAAATAGCTTTTTACACTTTTTGCCATAACTTTTGAACCATCAGAGATAAGGACTTCATATTTGGTATGCATACTCCACCGATTAATTTCTTTCAAATGACACCATGGTCAATGATCTTGTGACCTTGACTGTGACGGATATGCTAAAAATAGCTCTTTACACTTTTTGCCACAACTTTTGAACCATGGGAGATAGGGACTTCATATTTAGTACGCATACTCCACTGATTAAGTTCTTTCGAATGACACCAATGGTCAATGACCTTGTGACCTTGACTGTGATCAATATGCTAAAAGAAGATTTTTTTAACTTTGTTGCCGCCGGGCGCGTAGTGTTTCACAAACACATCTTGTTCCAACATAAATCTTCTTCTCAAGAACAGCAAAGACATTTATTGTCCCCATTTTTGCTAAAGGTAGGGTACATTAAATCTCATTTGTTTGTCAATCTGCCTATCTGTCACAATAAATTTAACCTTGGTCAT